TAGCCGAAATCAACAGGTCATAAATATCACAGTAAAGAATGGATACAGAAGAAGGTGGCACTGCTTTGTGATCTTCTGATCTGATATCACTCCGGATCAAGAGTATGGCTATATGGCATGCTGCTAGGCTAGCAGAGAGCGTGAGGCAGCTGTCACAACCATAGAATGCTGCCATGGGAAGCTACTATAGTCGGGGAGGGGGAAGTTACAACACAAGTCAGCGCGACCAAGTCAGCTCGTCTGAATCATATCTTTAGTCGCCTGCGTCCTCTCAGTCCTCTAAGCCCTAGAGGACACAGACGGCTAAAGTCCGCGCTGCCCAAGCTCGCTGAGCGCAGCCTTGTTTGAGGTGTCCCTCCCCCTCCTCTGACACGAAATGAAACGAAGCTGTGGGGAAGAGCCCTCGCTTACTCATTCTAGCTATACGTTGTATTCAGATCAAACTCCACAAGCAGTGCCAAAAAATTATCCTCTTAGCATCGGCGCTACCTGAGATGCTTGAACCAAGCTCTGCAGACATTTCACGTGTGCTCGTGCTGCTGTCAGTAGACGACCACAGTCGTGGCGTTCTGCCATTTCTGTAAGAGCAAAGCTCGGTTCAGGAGATCTGGACAATAATTAGCCACGTACCATTGAAGAACTTGATCATATCAGTAAAATCCATGTTGTTGGCAATGATCACATCCCGGTAGTTTGTTACCATCGCCAAGGCAAAGAACAGCGAAAAATGAGGTGTAAACGTCTTCTTGGCTGCCCATATCGTCTCCCATACACGGAAGATGCAATCGTAGGACATTTCTGAAAAAGACTTCATGTCAGGCTCACAGAAGTGTGACAATAACGCAAATAATACCTCTTTTGAAGTCCAATAAAAACCATCGATAACTAAAGTAGAGATGTGTAAAATCGGAAGTGGAAGTCAAAAGCGTGAAGATTTGCGGGTCGACAACCTTAATGTAATAAATGATATGAGAACGTTAAACGCAGGACAACAAGAACACAAAACGACTTCTATGAGCCTCGACTTCTATGAGTCTCGACATGATCTCTGGGCGTGGAGCCCAGGGATGCTGCAGAGTCTCTTAGAACCTCGCGCTTCAAGCTTGTGTGGCAGGCCTGACTGCACGGAGGCAGGTAGCTGGGACTGAATGCGGCCTATTTTCGCTGTGGAAGGGGTGTAAGTGGGTACGTACATTTAGGTGGCGGATGCTAATTAGGCTGACGTCAACTCGCAGCTTTTATCACATCCGATTGTCGCTGACTAAAAGAAAAAAAAAAAAAAATGAGCATTCTCGATACCACCTCTTCCGCTTAATCGAGGTACTTGAGCAGCAGAAACAGCTTGAAACTTGTGAATTGAAGATAGCGCACGCTGGAGTAAGCCATGACCCCTAATAACTCCCAATTATCTGTCGTAGGTAACTGTAAATAGGCCGAGCTAGCAAACCCCCATTCAAACTCAAAATGGAGGAACGTTCGCGAAAATGCTCAACTTTCTAGGCTGATGCATTTCAATACTGGATTACGGAAAGCGAATCCTTTAGAACGAAGCACTTGTATTCGCAGAACAAATAAATAATTTTCCATGAAACGGTATGGAATGCACTAGGAAAGTAAAATCAACCATGGAGCTCAAATTATTTATTGAAATGTGAATGTTATTGAGAGGTCAACTTCCAATGCCCAAGCGAGTTCACTTCACAAGCGTCACGCGGTCTCCCCACATGCGATATGGGGAGGTGCTAAGTGAGGTCTACCTATCTGAAGTTCCACTCTCACAGCTAGTTGGCATGCTATAGCACCTTTACGTCTTATAGGTTAGGTTTTGGTGCAACATGGCTCCACTTCGATTTTGTCGCATCGCCACTACATGGAACTCCCAATCCACACCCAGATTTTGGATATGCTAAGATTTTTTTCTCACTCATTCTGTATCTCCGTCTCCTCTCCTTATCTCCTTTCTGCATCTTCGATTCAGACCACGTCGTACGTTAGGGGATCCCCGGCGGGGGGGGGGTCGTATTTTGTCCGAGAAAACTTTTTTGATGGTCGATTTTTCTTGCTCCACAGACGCTATAATGGGGGGGGGGGTCATATTTGCTCGCTGTTTTGGGAGGAGGGGAGGAGGTATTTGCCTTTGGAATTTTCATCGTTTCTATACCTCCTTATTGGTGGCGCCAAAAGTCCTTAGTTGGTGGTGCCAGCTAATGTCCTATACAACTATTATTTCTGGTAACTGAAACTAGCAGCTGGTTGTAGATGATCCCCCTCGCCCCCGCGCAACAGCAAAATATCTGGGAAAAGACTAGAAAAATCTCGTTACTGGGGAAACTGGAAAAGTGGTAGAAAATTAGGAAAATCTAGAAATGTGGTAAGTAGGATGGAGGAGGTGGGGGAGGGTCGTATCAGAGGAGGAAATTAGGGGCCGGGTCGTATTTTGAGACAACTTTCCCCACCGGCAAGACGTGCCCTGCTTCGTCTAGTGAATGAGTGAATTCTGCGATGAATGCCCTTTCTGTTCAGAAAATATATCTACCTGTATCAGTGAACGCAGATTCATGAGACACACATCCATGCCACTTCGCTGTGGAAAATTATCTCCTTAATCTTGTCATCAGCACCGTAAAGCATTCGAGTGTGAGTGCCTCTGAAATAGAAGATTTACCCTCCGAAACAAAAGATATTTGCCAGATCTAGCACTCACCGTCTTCAAAGATAACCAGGAGTGGAGCTAAAATGTCACACATCCCTTGTATATACCCATCTTCGAGATTTCGTCGCACGTATGTGATCATGACTCTTCTATAAAGGAAATACGGTATTTTCTGGATGTGACGTCATATTACGGAATAACATTGTTTTGAGTGGCGTTTTTCTTTCTGAGTGTTTTTCTTGTTTAGAAACTCTTTTCTACTTGATATATTCTTCGCTGTTGGTGTGAGCTAAGGCTTCTAAGTGTAAGTAGTACCCTCTTATGGGACGGCGAAGAAGAGGAACGCACCAATGAAGACAACCTACTGGTCGAAGAAACCCCGCCCGCTCCATCAGCATGGAATATGCCATTACTAATACCGCCGACTAACGGAGTAACTCACCGAAGGCTTTCGAGATTCTCTTTATTAGAGAAGAATATCAGATTTCTATCGCATCTCTCGACATCCTTGTCAATTCGATGTAGATTAATGGCGAATTGTCGGTAAAGAATCTCGCCATCGCTGTGATGGGGTTTTTCCTGAAATGTATTAAGTTAGCTGCACGAACGATACTCCGCTTTCCGATTTTCAAAGAAAAGAAACAAAACATTTGTATGACCCCATGTTGGCGCACTGTCCAACGCTCCTTCTCGCGCAGTGCTTTCAGTTTGTATCCGAACAGTCCCAATTGGTTTTGATCTATCGGAGATCATCAAAAACATCTCGTCGTACCCATAGAGAACCCATGGGGCGCCATCGATCTGCTCACCTATGGCGAACTTCACCACAATCAAGTGAAGGTAATTTTCTAAGCCCGTCGTGAAAAAATTTGAAGCTCCCAATTGTTACTAGGTAAAGCAAAAGAGTAATTATCCTTGCCTGTGATGACTATTACTTACTGCTATTCCTGCCATCTTATACTTTGTTAAACTTTTTATTCGGTTTGTTCTTTTTCATATGAAGAAATGCTTTGGAATTTCTAGTTTACACAGGTGGTTGAATAATTTGTAGATCGCTGACGCTAGCGGTCGCGAGGTGACTGCCTTGAGAATTTGCATGACGCCTCAAAGGTGCAATGCGATTTCGTTTGCTTTTCGTCCTTTATCCACACAAGATCTTCAACTTTCTACGTGTTACCAGCCACCATGTCGCTCGTGACCGTGCGCGTCTTTGATATACAATTTGAGCCTTAAGTACATCAACGAAAAGTGTTGTTTTTATTGGACTATTCTTCACTAGATATAGGTTGCTTCGAAGTAACGATTCAAATTTTTCCGACGTGGATGAAACGGCTGAGCTGCCTGCTTTGCCAAGTTGGTTGACAATTCATTACCGTGAGCACATTTTTTGCAGAAATATCAAATTAAGGGTGCTGCTCTTGAGAAGCGCTACCTGTTGTTCACGCTGTGTAATACTTTTATCAACTATCTCTAATGAATCACTTCTAATTTTTTTAGTGTTTTAATAATATACTATTATGAAATCTTTTTCAACGTTTTGAAAAATATGATGGTGTGCGTTAGTTTTTGTCGACGCCATAGATTAGTTTTGAAATCAAAATGTCGGCTAGTAGTAAATTATTTACGCAGTTTATTTAATTATTCCACGCTTATCATATGGGTGGAGACAGGGGTGACTTCATTGGCGCACCCTTGTTTGGTGTAGGAAAGGAACATGGATGCGCCAGTGAGAAACACAGTAGTTCCCCGCATCTGCGTACCACTAAAACACCCTAACTAGTTAATTGCTGGATGCGGAAGCGTATTAGAATAGTGTACTATTCATACTTGTAAAGAAAAAGAGCTTTGTAAAGTTGTTAAGGAAGCTGCGTACAAGTAGTCTGGTCCTCAGTCTCTGAGATTATCTCTTCTTCATAGCTTCACAATTAAGTGATGAAGCCGCTGTGGCCCCCATAAGTGGCATTTCTGACGCCTCCCCAGTTGCCCCGCCCACCGAAACTCAAAGGCTATTTCCTGTCTTGAGTTCGGTTCGCGCACCACGTTTTCCGTTTTTTTTTGTTGTCAGACGGTATTATTATTGAATGACGCGCAGAGACGTGAGCTAGACGTGGCAGAATATCGCATTGATGGCATAAAACGAGGAAGTCCCGAGCACTCGTTCAGAGGGGCTGTCAGGTTCTCACTTGAAGTGTTCTCCATGGCTTTCTTCGCTTTTTTTCTTCCATAAAGACTTATTTAGCAACTATTTATGGGTCACTATCTACAATGTATAATCATGGAGTTTGTTCTTTAATCTATCGTCGTTTTTGCCGCAGAAATTCTTGTTATAGCATTTTGGCAACTTTCCAGGGTGCGATGCTTTTGAAAACAAAAGGCGAAGAATCTCCGAGCTGGGACTTTTCCTACATTCGGAAAAGAAAAAGCGACTACGACACTGTAGTATGTGTGTAAGTTCATTCTGGAGTCATTTTTACGATTTCGAGATGACAGCGAAAAAAGTGATGTCGTATCCAGAGTTCAAAAAGTGAAGTTTGTGTTAGTTCATTGAGGAAGTGGTGCCCTGTCTATCGGAATTGGACCTCTTATACATTTCATGCCACGGGGATGTGGAGGGTGTGGCTGCTTCCCTCACATAAATATGGCGGCTCTGCTTGTTGGGTTGTTTATTGTCGTTTTCGCTATCGCAATCATGTGCTTTCGAGGCCCAAGACAGGTTGAAGTTGTCACAAATGGAATTGTCCCACAAAAACGCATCGTTCGCCATATTTGGATGAAGTACGCAGCCACGCCCTCTCCATCTTGGGGATATGTTCGCTGCACAGAGAGCAATCCTATGATATGTATATCTTTAACATCTCACTTTGAACGGTGTTGCGATGTTTCGATTGGATTATGCAACAAAGAGTGGTGTAGGCAGGGGTTCACTGGGAGGTGGGGCCACTTAGAAGAAACACGATCCAGGGAAGTTATATCGGATCAGCTACCAGAAGGGCTAACGAGCTTTCCCATCCCTCCAGGCCAGTAGATTGCTACGGGACTTGATAAGAACGATAAAACCACTGAATTGTATATTTTGCAGTTCGTGGTTAATTGGTAAGTCACTTTCGCAATGCCACTTTCGTTCTGGTAGTGCAAGATGGGAAGCATGGCGCATCCCAAAGAGGGTCTAATCAACGCCAAAGTTCCATCAGGTCATCATTTCTATTTCTTGGAAAATTGAACGCATAGAGGCTACCCTTTAAGCCAGTTAAAGGGTATTACCCTCGAGACAACTCGGTTGCGTCTTCCCCTTTCTTAACCGCCGGTTCTTTAACTTTAGTTTGGTACTATTTATTTTCATACCGTATATGGGACCCGTAGAAATATATATAGAAGGCGGTGCAGTAGTCACATGCGCGCTTAAGGGAATTTTCATAGGCATTGATCCTGCAAAACGATACACATCGGTTGAGGGCTACGTTTGGATCAGCTTTCCCACCAATGAGAACTTTCCCTGTCGGTGTATGAGAAAAGAAAACGCCCGATTGAAATTGAATGCCGCTATTTCCCTAGATGCTAATCGCCATATGAGAGACCAAAAATGACTGCATTTTGGACGCTGCTCATTCTGAAGAGCCTTTTTCAAAAGAGAAACAAGGCAAGTTACGTGATTAACGATCTATTACTGCTCGACACTAAGGTATCGAAAAGAGTCGTATACCCTTTCCCAGTTGAAGATGCATTCCGGCATATCTAGAGATGAGCGGAGATATGAGAGGTGGAGAAATCCGTGGTGAATTCCTCATTAGTGAGCTCTCTCTAAGACCCGACTGAGGAAATGGTGCGCCAATGAGGTGTTTCTCCGTCTTCGTTCTTACGAACAGCGCCAAAATAGTCCCCTTAGGAGACTATTTCGGATTAAGTCAAGAAGGTCTTACAGGAGCCAAAGGACAGCCAATGTGACATTGGACTCTTTCGGAGTCATAAAGCCATGGAAAGAACTGTACTGTAATGAGTGTGATACGATAACGGATTTCTTCGCTTGTTCCAGTGTAGTTAAAGTCAATTATGCAGTAAAACCTCAACAGATCAACTACTAATGGTGTGGTTTGATCCCCGTTCTTGGCTCATGTCAGTGCGCGGAAATCGATATTTCAATCGATATCAATCGAGCTTTTAACTTCGAACGACACACACTGTACATCTTCCTGAAATATTCATGGCAACTTGGTCTCACCACTAATCCATTCTCAGGCATTTCATCTTCAAACACCTCACTGGTCAGCGAACATTCGCGTTCCGGCATGGGAAACCTTCGATGTCGGGCTAAAATAGTTAGGATAAAGACCAGTGTTAAATGGTACTAAAAGCAAATTCCTCTGCCGAAATGAGAAGCTGACGTACCGGCCAGAAAGTCTTCCTCATCTTGACGGCGAACTTCTGCTTCAAGCACTCTCCAGTTCTCAACATCTTCTCTGGAAAATTTAACTCATTTTCCGTCTAATTGATTAGTCAAAACTGTTTTGCTGAGTACCTGTACTTCGCTGTAAATTCGGTCATTTTTGGTTCAGGTTCCTCATCCCAACTGAATAGCTTCAGGAGATATGGCCAAGCCTAAGAAGAAACTCGTGAACTTTGACCTTTCTCTAACATTCTGCTAAAACAACAATAAGTACCTGCCGACGAAGTTCTTTGGTGGCCGTACCCTCAATCCCTTTCCAGTAGACTCTTAGGAAGAACTCCTCTTCCAGTTCAGTCTGAAAACGTGAAAATTCAGTAGACGATTAGCTTGGCCTGTTCAGTGGTAATCCTTACCGTTTTCTCAGACCGACATCTTCTCCAAAATTCCTCGTCAACGGGCAGAGCGTCCTCCTCGCCGAGCATTTCTTTCGTATCGACCAAGTACATAAGGTGATTTCTTATCGTTCGTAAGTGTCTACAGTACGATAGCCCTAAAAGGAGTTCTATGGGAAAATCACCAGTCTTCGAAGCCATCCCTCGTGGATTAATGGATAGTTCAGGACTGTTCAGACTGCGGGTAGGTAAGAGAAAGCACTCACAACCGAAGAAGGCTCTCGCCAATATCTGATGACGCATCGATTGACATGCACGGTCGATTTGAACGCTAAAAATCGGCATTCAAATCGTGAGATATTACATTGTAAATCTGAAATCAATGGTGGAATATAGGAGATTTAGCGGGGAAAGAGTAACACTACATATTTCAAATAAGTTATCGGACTGTGACATTGGGCTGGCCCACAACTTCTGGCAGACTTCTTTCAACTTACCTGTTGACCTATTACACGTAGATTTATTCAACAAAGCTAAATTCTTCCCATTCTACCACTGCGGTTCTTCAGAATGGCTATTGTTGGCGGTACCACACCCCTCATTACCTATTTTATGCGGGTGAGGTCGGTCTTATACATAGTCTCAGCTTCTCGACATAATAAGTTGCACTTCTGCGGTGACATGAGACCTTCACTGGAAGAGGACTTGACCAGTGATAAAGAAAACTAGCTCAGTGACATGTGATGTGCTGCTTATGAGTTGTGATGAGTGAAACCATCAAGGATGAAGGAGGGTCAACTGCAGTCATTGTGGGCATG